TTTAACTACAAGCGCATTAATGAAATCATTCATTTCATGAATCCCAAATGGATCGAAATTTGAAATGTCACAAGAAGATCCGGTTAGATAATGTTGGTGAGATTATGTCTAAGGCTTTTGATGACTAATGTATGGCCATTAGGATGGACGTGGAGCATCCTGTGCCACATACTCACACACAGAACGGCCTAGCAGAAACTTTAATTAAACGCCTGAAAATGATTGCTATACCGTTGCTGTTGAGGGCCAAATTACCCTTTAGTTTATGGGGACATGCGATATTGCACATTGCAGCACTGATTAGAATTTGACCTACTGCATATCATGAATACTCCCTGATTCAACTTGTACGTGGATGTGACCTGATGTTTCTCATCTGCGAATATTTGGTTGTGCCGTATATGTTCTTATACCACCTCCACAGCGTTCCAAAATGGGGCCTCAACGTCGACTTGGCATTTATGTGAGATATGAGTCTCCATCTATTATAAAATATTTGGAGCCCTAGACGGGCGACTTGTTTACTGCCCGGTTCGCTGATTGTATATTTGATGAGGCATATTTCCCGACATTAGGGGGAGAAAGCTTGAAGCTTAAGGAATGCCGTGAAATTTCCTGGAAGGAACATCAATTGAATTACCTTGATCCACGTACAAGCACAACTGAACTTGAAGTTCAGAAGATTATTAACTTGCGAAATTTAGCAAGTGAACTGCCATGTGCATTTACTGATCATAAAGGGGTGACTAAGTCCCATATTCCTGACGAAAACGCACCACCTAGAGTGGAGATCCCTTTGGGACCAAAAATGTCTGATGAGCCTAGTCAACGCCGTAAGTGTGGACGACCCACATGAGCTAAAGACATAAATCCACGGAAAAGAAAAAACATTCAGTCACCCAATGCGCCTTCTGTAGAGAAATGCAATCCCGGTGAAATTAGTGAAGCTGCCCCAAATAACAATCCCGGGAATACGGAACGGCCAAATCCTATTGATATGGGAAACGAAGAGGATTTGGTTGATTTAAACATAGAAGTTGCAGTAAATTATATGAATACGGGAGTAAGATATGATAGAATTACAATTGTCGTCGACAACTCCTTTGCCTCCTCAGTAGCGCTCACTGTCTCAAAAGATAATCTGGATCCAGAACCAAAATCCATTCTTGAATGCCAGAAGCGTTCAAATTGGAATAAATGGAAGGAGACAATTAAGGCAGAACTAGACTCGCTTAATAAACGTTGTGTTTTTGGACCTGTTGTCCGAACACCCAAAGATGTTATCCCTGTTGGATATAAATGGGTGTTTGTAAGAAAATACAATGAAAAGAATGAGGTGGTAAGATATAAAGCGAGACTAGTTGCCCAAGGGTTTTCGCAGAGACTCAGTATAGACTTTGATGTCACTTATTCTCCCGTAATGGACAACATTACGTTAAGTTATTTGATCAGTATGACAGAAAATATGAATCTAGATATGCACTTAATGGATGTTGTGACTGCATGTTTGTATGGGTCACTTGACACTGATATATATATATATATAAAAGTCCCTGAAGGATTTCCAATTCCCCATATGGGAAAGAATGAAAATCACAACATGTATAGTATTAAATTGCAAACATCATTATATGGTCTTAAACAATCCGGTCGCATGTGGTACAACCGGTTAAGTTATTACCTCCTGAAGTAGGGATATGTAAACAATATAATATGTCCTTGTGTATTCATAAAAAGGTCACCAAATGGCTTTGCCATCATATCTGTATATGTTGATGACCTGAATATAACTGGAACTCTAAAAGAGCTCAAAGAAACTCGTTCCTACCTAAAGAAGGAATTTCAAATGAAAGACTTGGGTCAAACCAAGTATTGTCTCGGCCTGCAGATCGAGCACCTCCTAGAAGGAGTTTTATTGCACCAGTCTAATTATACAAAAAGGATATTGGAGACATTTTATATGGATAAATCTCATCCTCTCAGCGCACCAATGGTGGTCCGTTCACTTGAAGTGGACAAAGACCCATTTAGACCTAAAGAGGAAAGCGAGGATAGGTTAGGACCTGAAGTTCCCTATCTTAGCGCCATAGGAGCACTGTTATATCTTGCAAATGGCACCAGGCCTAATATTGCATTTGCAGTAAATGTTCTAGCTAGACACAGTGCCAATCCAACCCGAAGACATTGGAATGGTGTTAAACATATCCTACATTACCTCCAAGGAACTGTTGGCCTTGGTTTATTTTACCAAAGAAACAGAGATTTAACATTGGTGGGATATTCAGATGCTGGCTATATGTCTGATCCTCATAATGCCAAGTCACAGACTGGTTATGTGTTCCTCTGTGGAGGCACGGCAGTTTCATGGAAGTCAGTAAAACAAAGTATGGTTGCTACTTCCTCAAATCATTTTGAGATTATTGCACTATTTGAAATTGCCAAAGAATGTGTTTGGTTAAGAACTTTGATACATCACATTCAAGATTCATGTGGCTTATCCTCAATTCATGATGCCCCGACTATACTTTTTTTGGATAATGCGGCTTGCATTGCACAAATGCGTGATGGATTTGTCAAAAGTGACAGAACTAAACATATTCACCTAAGTTATTTTACCCGCATGAACTCCAAGAAAAAGGTGAAATAGATATCCATCAAATTCGCTCTAGTGACAATCTTGCAGATTTGTTCACTAAATCCCTACCTACTTCCACATTTGAAAAACTTGTATATGGAATAGGAATGCGTCGGCTTGGACGACTACTTCAATCAAGGGGAGCGAATTAACCATCCCTGAAGGATGGAACCCATAAGGTTTATGGCTGTACTCTGTTTTCCTTTGCTAAGTTTTTTTTTCCCACAGGGTTTTTACTTACCAAAGGTTTTCTAATAAGGCAGCCTAAGTGCAATGACTATTAAAATGAGGGGGAGTATTATACGCACTGTACTCTTTTTCCCTTCGCCAAGTTTTTGTCCCACTGGGTTTTTCTTGGCAAAGTTTTTTTTTAATGAGGCAATCTAAACAGCGTATAATAAAAGGTGAACATCCAAGGGGGAGTGTTATAAATACATTGGGGATAAGTACAACGCAAGTGCCATAACTTTTGTACGGATGACACTTAAGTGCCATAACTTTTTTTTTGCTCACTTGAGTGCCATAACTTTCAAAAAAAAATCACTTAAGTGCAACTTACGAGCTGGTCGTAGGGGCCCGAAACCGCAGCTTTTTCGGCCGAACAATGACCTTCCCGGTGAGGCGAGCACCACCAGCTTGAAGAGGGGGTGTCGGTGAATCATTCCATGGCCTCCGTTCATCTCGAAATTTCCGTTTTAGCCTCCGTTGACGAAGGTAAATATGCTTCGTAGTCACACATTTATCGAGCCGATTTGTGTGACTACGAAGCATTTTTACCTTCGTCAACGGAGACTAAAACGGAAATTTCGAGACGAACGGAGGCTATAGAATGATTCACCGACACCCCCTCTTCAATCTGGTGGTGCTCACCTCGCCGGGAAGGTCACCGTTTGGCTGGAAAATCCGCGGTTTCGGGCCCTCACGACCAACCCCTCTGACAAGCTGGTCGTGAGGGCTCGAAACCGCGGCTTTTCCGGTCGAACGGTGACCTTCCCGGTGAGGCGAGCACCACCAGCTTGAAGAGGGGGTGTCGGTGAATCATTCCATGGCCTCCGTTTGTCTCAAAATTTCCGTTTTAGCCTCCGTTGACGAAGGTAAAAATGCTTCGTAGTCACACAAATCGGTTCGATAAATTGTGTGACTACGAAGCATTTTTACCTTCGTCAACGGAGGCTAAAACGGAAATTTCGAGATGAACGGAGGCCATGGAATGATTCACCGACACCCCCTCTTCAAGCTGGTGGTGCTCGCCTCACCGGGAAGGTCATTATTCTGTCGGAAAAGTCGCGGTTTCGGGCCCTCACGACCAGCTTGTAAGTGGCACTTAAGTGATCATTTTTTTGAAAGTTATGGCACTCAAGTGAGCCAAAAAAAAGTTATGGCACTTACGCTGTACTTATCCCAATAGATTGTATGATGTGGATGTATCACTTTTCACCATTCCATGAATAGTTCTATACATTCCCTCTTTCAATGTACATGATCACCTCCTCCATTAATAGTATACATGAACACATACATTCATGTACAATGTACTTATATTGTTCATGTACCCTCTAGCCTATAAATAGAGGCTTTTGTAAACTTGTTGAGGTGAGTAAACGGGTTAACATTTGCTTCCCACTTCTCTCTTATCTCTTCCTTTCTCTCATATTATACTTTAAGTTGATTTCTGAGTTGATTCCAAAGATCACCGTTTACTTTTACAACAGTTACGTTCAAACTTGCCCTTTATTCTTTATAGGGTTAATATCACAAAAAATCCCAAACTGTTACATCTGCAACAATTTACAATTCGTTAGTTTCTGTTAAATTTTATCGTCAAATTGCTAAGTTGGATGATATATGGTAGTTGACGGGTGTACTAGCTTAGGGTTTTACCCTCCTGTTTATCACAAATTTACTACTTTATGATTTTTCGTAGTATAAATCCATTTTAACGGAAGGTAAATTTATCACAAGTGTACCAGTTTGAGGTAAATTTGTCACAGGTGTACCAGTTTAGGGTTTTTGGTGTTAAAAAAGTTAATTTTGGATAAATTTGTTATAGATGTACCAGCTTGAAATTTTTCGTAGTATTAATCCTTCTTTATATGGAATGATAAGAATGAGCAAAACAAATTAGTAATTATTTATGCATTGAAGGTCGAGTTTCTTGTAAGTTGTAACATGTAACTGATCACATAAAAAATTATTTGTTGCCTTCAATAATTGTTCGTGTGTAAGTGTGTCACTAGAACCGTTGACTTTCTTCCTATATCATCTATCAGAGATCAGACTGTCCCTAGAAAGACCTATGTTTGGTGTGGCCAGAATCTTCCTCGCTCTCGTTCAACCGATCCGCATCCCGTTGTCGCAAGCCGAAATGTCGAGCAGAGATTCGGAAGGTGCCTGGCCGTGGTTGTGGCCTGCTAAAGAAGCGAATGATGCAATTCCTAGAGCTACTACAACACTGCTTGTCATAGCAATCACAGCTCTTAGTTTTTTCTCTTTATTCTGGAGAAGAAAAAATGGGACGGCTCCATTCCCGCCGGGCCCCCGAGGCATGCCGTTCCTTGGGTACCTCCCATTCCTAGGGACCGAGCTCCACCGGAAATTCGCTGAATTGGCTGAGACCTACGGCCCCATCTACAAACTCTGGCTCGGAAGCAAGTTATATGTCGTGGTTAACTCCCCATTGCTGGCCAAAGAAATTGTGCGGGACAAGGACACAACGTTCGCCAATCGGGATCCGAACATAGCCGCTACCATTGGATCATACGGCAGAAGGGACATTACCTTCTCAAGCCAGGGGCCTTATTGGAGGAATCTCCGCAAGCTGTTCATACGGCAGATGATGAGCAACGCGAGCCTTGACGCCTGTTATGGTTTGAGAAGGCAAGAGGTCAGGAAAGCTCTGAGTGATCTGTACAAAAAATCCGAGGTGCCGGTAGGTATCGGTGAATCGGCACTTCTGATCTTGATTAACGTGATGATGGCGATGCTATGGGGAGGGACGCTTAAGGGAGAGAAGAGCGAGGCTGTGGGGGCCGAGTTTCGAAAGGTGGTAGCTGAACTCATGGTGCTCGCAGGTAGACCGAATATTTCGGACTTTTTCCCAGCACTCGCTTGGCTTGACTTGCAAGGAGTCGAAAGGGACATGAAAATGGTGCATAAGTGGTTTGATGATTTTATTCAGTCTGCTATCGATTGCGCCACCGAAGGAAAAACAAATGAACTGTTCAAGCAGCAGGACGGAGAATCTAAAGGCAGTGAACAAAAAAAGGACTTTTTGCAGATTTTCCTGGACACGGAGATGGATCTTGAAGATAAGGAGTCTCCAATGGACAAGAATGAAGCACTCAAAGCCATTCATATGGTAAGTTTATTAAGCTAGGTGACTAGTTCTTATATGAATGTACATTATTATTTAATGACCTGATGCACTAGTAAGTATACTTAATCCTCTTCTGCAACTCTGTTGTTGGTTGATTTCATTTCATATTTTGGCCAACATAATCATGAGTTATTGTCAAGCGATTATGACTAGATTACCATTATTTTCATCCAGCGTCTTGGACATTAGTGAAACAAATATAGTAAAGTTGATATAATGCAAAAGTATTTCAATTATTTTGTGTCAATTTTCAAATGAAGTTGGTCGTATCATGTTCAGATTGAAATCTCTTTCCATACCCTTTGTTTCGTATCCTAGAAGGTTGATTCTTCTCTATTACAGTGATATATTATGTATTCAGCTTCATTAAACCTGACAGCAATTTACTCTTTCTGTTGACACTTCGAATTTGTGGAATAGGACATCGTGGTTGGTGGAACTGATACAACTTCAACAACGGTCGAGTGGGTGATGGCAGAGTTGCTGCAGAACGGTAATGTGATGAACAAAGTAGTCCACGAATTGACAGAAGTCGTGGGGAAGGATAAGATGGTCGAAGAGCACCACTTGCCCAAATTAAAGTACCTCCATGCTGTCATCAAGGAGGCATTTCGCTTGCACCCGGTGCTGCCCTTGTTGGTGCCTCGGACCCCACATGCTTCCTGTGTCGTCGGTGGTTACACAATTCCGAAGGGCAGCAACATATTCTTGAACGTGGGTTATATCCAACGGGACCCCAAGATTTGGGACAAGCCGTCAGAGTTCAGACCTGAGAGGTTCTTGGAAGATCCCAGCAAGTACGATCTCTCGGGCAACAACTTCACGTACATGCCCTTCGGTTCCGGTCGAAGGATGTGTGACGGGCTGGCGCTGGCAGAGAGGATACTACCGTATGTTTTGGCCTCTCTTCTGCATTCATTCGAGTGGGAATTACCGCCAGGAGCACAGCTGGAATTCTCGGACAAGTTCGGGCTTGTGGTCAAGAAAATGAAGCCCCTGGTCGCCATTCCCAGGCCGAGATTGTCCACTCCAGAGCTCTACATGTTGAGATAGATCTTTATTAGTCTCAAGACTGCTCATTTCAATTCTATGAAATAAACGTATCTTGCCTGTATCAATCATGTTTGAAAAGAATTTATGCTGCTTTTGTTTGTAATAGAAGGAGGACTTCCTGTCATCTATTGGTTCTTCAGGTCAGTTAGACCAGAAGATGAAGTCTAGTAATTTAAGAGCAAAACGTTTCGGGTCTTGCATATAAAATATATTCGACCGGGGAGTTCTCAAGGAGGCGGGTGCGCTTGCATCCGGTGCTGCATATTTTCTAAGTATTCTGGAACACTTATTAAGCATTCTTCGCAGTTTTCCGTAAGACTGATTGACTTTTCCTCGTTAAATTTTGCCTAAATATCTCTGACGCTTACTTCGACAATAAACTATGGCAAATGATGCGAATCTTGACATGGACAGCAGAGTAATGCATTAATAGCTATCTTTTTATATAAGATAAAGGAAAATCAAAACTAACAAGATGACCCAAATTGTCAAGAACTGTTAGTGACATCATTATCCTAATCATTCTAACTTTTCAATCATTTAACAATTTTTCTTTTCCTTTCCAAACCTACTAAAGCAAGCAGAGAATAAAAGGAACAAGAGAGTGAACAAAACGTGAGAGGATTCGGTGGGTTGAGCTCTCGGCTGATAAAAAGAAACCGAGAGAGAAAAACAGGAAACGGGTTTCATCATCCGTGGAGCTGTTTTAGTCCTCTGCTCTCCCCTTGTTCACGGACTGCATCGTCGAGCGAAAATGAGCCAACATCGCCGACTTTCGATCACTGTCCAGACCACTCCAGAAGCACATCCGCCGTCCTCATGCCGCTTGCTGAATCCATCGAGTTTCAACCTCAGACCTGTTTGAGCTGCTGATCCACGGCTGCCGAATTGGTCTGAATCGAGCCGGCAATCGTAGTCCATTTTAATTTTGTGGCATTTAATATGACAATTAATTATGGCAAGCAATCCGCATGGACAGCAAAATAATGCATTAATTGACACACCCCAAATCCTACAAAAACAGGGGAGATGACACGACTGTCCTCTACGCAGCCTCAAACAAATCATAACTAAGCTCTGATACCATTGTTGCCAATATCTTGCTGACAAATTGATTGACAACCGTCCAATGCACGCTCACTCTCACTAGGAACATTGCCAACATCTCTACTCCTAAGCTCTGATTACCATTTGTGATGCCATGTGATGGCTGAAGATGAGAATCAACGCTTGCAGATTTAGAGGGCTAGTAACTTGAAAACCCATGCATCCCACTATAACCATTTCTTTGGCTGGATGGTGATTGAGCAACACTACCTCCAGTTTCATACCAAGGCTTGCTGAGTCCTTGCTCACTAATCTTACGTGTAGTTCTTTCAGCTCCTAGTGAAGAACTTCTCGATGTACCAGAACCATAGTCATAATTTCCATAAACTTCACCTATATTCTTGTCTTGAACTGCTTCACCAAGAGGATCTCTATGCAAATGCTGAATCCTTTGCGTTTTCACTGGAGGATCCTCCATGTCCACCACTAAAGCTTAAAATATTAGCACATTAGAAACTATCACACAATCTCACCACTCCCAGAAAATCTATATAATTAGATTATAACCTAAACTCCGATACCCATAAATATCACACCCCCAACTCTAAAAGTTCATGGGCAGTTGACATGGCCATCCTTTCAACCGAAGGACGTAGCCTCAAATATAACCATCAATTTCAAATTCAGAATACAATATACTTAAAATATCAAAAGTGAGTGATATATTTCAACATAAACATTTTACATATAAGTTCAATTGAAAAAATCAACAATTAATAGTCTATTCTATTGATCAATCTCAATCAAATCAACGTCAATGATACATCCATTGAGTAATCTAATGCTCAACATCTATTTATGGTCACGCTTAACCCCTATAACAAAGGCAACCAAATTTACCCCCTATGTTAGGTCTCCACCTCTATCAACCGGTGATTCGGCCTAGAAGGATGTCATGATAATAATGTGCTTACTTACCCCCTCAATGGGTTCATGAGCATAATCCACTAATATCATTGTTTAATAAGCCACAAAACAAATCCATAATTCATCTCATAAACCGATTTCACAAACCAAATCATATAATCTTTCTCAATTGCATTTATCAATAGAGTGCATTTCTTGAAGCATTTCACAAACCGATACATATAGCTTTTGACAATTCCATTAACAAAGCATTTAATCAAGACATTCACAAAAGATTATTTCAAATATTTCAAAATGCCTTGTTAACTGACTAATAAAATAGTAAAAGCTCAATCCAATTTATGCAAGAAATATGCTCTTTCATAAATATACTCGATTAAATTTTTACCACTTTCAAAATATGAATTTATAAATTCATAGAAAAGATTGTACCACTCAATTGGGAATGCTCAAAACCAAACAATGAAAGTTACTCGAACTGTCGAAATTGCAATACTATCAAATAAGTGAGAAACAACATTAAAATCAAGTAAAACGCTACATCAACTATGAATTGGCTAAACCAAGCTTACTCACTAACAAAATGACTCTCACGCGCTAACGAAAAGTTCGCCCATAACGGATACTCGTTGTTGTTCGCTATCCGCAGCTTGCACGCTAAATTTGTTCCCGCCAAAACACTCTCCACCGAGCCCCGAGAACTTCAAAAAGGCCACCATCATCTGGTGGATTTTTCTCGTCCAGTGGATGCCCGGCATCATCATCAATAGTTTCCTAGTCACTATCTGAACCCGAATCATGGGACACATCTGATTTTTCCTCACTCCCAAGAAACTGATCTTCCTCATAAGAATTAAACATGTCAGTTTGCCGGTACACTTGATTAGCATCAAGCTGATATGACTCGTCAATTTCTTTTATATTGACTCCCTCGGTATAGCCTATCTCGAAGACTACATTGGGATCATTCGCTCCATTTCCGTCGGAGATTTTGTTAATGAGATGTCTTGAAGCTTTGCAAATATGCCCCCAGGTAACAGTCTTTTGTTTATTTAAATTACCTTCTTATACGCTTGCCCAATATAGTCTAAATTTATGTTCTCTTTGAAAAATGTATAGCGACTGAACATTGCCTAGTAGGAACTTCCAACACTGAAGGACGATCACGAAATAAACTTTTTTCCAGAAATAAAGTCTTCTCCACGCAAGATGGCATTCATGGTGCATGTGGGCGGTCCAAATGTTTCGATCTTTTTCCCGGTACTCGCTTGGCTTGACCTGTAAGGAGTGGAAAGGGACACGAAAAGGGTGCATCAGTGGATTGATGATTCTATTCAATCTGTTATTGATTGGGCCACTGAAGGAAGAACAAAATGAACCGTTCAAGCTGAAGGAAGGAGAATCTCAAAGCAATGAACAAAACAAGGACTTGTTGCAGATTTTCCTGGACATGGTGATGGATCTTGAAGATAGCCGGTAACCAGTGGACAAGAATGGAGCACTCAAAGCCATTCTTATGGTAACTTTATTAAGTTAGGTGACTGGTTCTTATATGAATATACATGACTATTTAATGACCTGATGCACCGGAAAGTATAGTTAATCCTCTTCCGCAACTCTGTTGTTGGTAGATTTCATTCCTTATTTTGGCCACCATAATCATGATTACTATCGAGCGATTATGACCAGAGTGTTACTCGCTTTCAAATCTATATCAGCCCCAGAAACCACAATTTTCAACCAACGTCCTATACAGTAGTGAAACAAATATAGCAAAGTTGTTATAATGCAAAGGCATTTCAAATATTGTGTGCTTCGTATGAAGTCGGTCGTATCATGTCAAGATTGAAATCTCTTTCCATGACTCTTGTTTCGCACCCTATCTTTTAACTTAGGTTGTGTCCAACCTTGCCCTCTCCATCTCAAAAAGCTCCATTCTACCTTGCCCTCTCCATCGCAAAAAGCTCCAATATTTGACTAGAATGTCGATTTTACTCAATTAGAGTGCTTCATTAAATATTCAGCTTTATTAAACAGAACAGCAATTTACTCTTTCTGATGAAACTTTGAATGTGTGGTATAGGACATTATCGTTGGCAGAACAGATACGTCTTCAACAACAGTCAAGTGAGTGATGGCAGAGTTGCTGCAGAACTGAGATGTGATGAACAAAGGAGTCCATGAATTGACAGAAGTTGTGGGGAGGTTAAGATGGTCGAAGAGCACCACTAAGTACCTCAATGCTGTCATCAAGGAGGCATTTCGCTAGCACCTGGTGCTGTCCTTAATGTTGTCTCGGACCCATCCACATGCTTTTGAACGGTGGTCACCAAACTCATGGTGCTCGTAGGTAGTCCGAATGTTTCGGACTTTTTCCCAGCACTTGCTTGGCTTGACCTACAAGGAGTGTAAAGGGACATGAAAAGGGTGCATCAGTGGCTTGATCCTTTTATTCAGTCTGTTGTCGATTGTGCCACCCAAAGAAGAACAAATGAACTGTTCAAGCAGGAAGGAGAATCTAAACGCAATGCGCAAAAAAAGGACTTTTTGCAGATTTTCCTGGACATGGAGATGGATCTTGAAGAAAACCAGTCACCAATGGACAAGAATGGAGCACTCAAAGCCATTCTAACGGTAAGTTTATTAAGCTAGGTCACTAGTTGTTATACGAACATACCTGACTATTTAGTGACCTGATGCACCAGAAAGTATAGTTAATCCTCTTCGACGACTCTGCTGTTGGTAGAATTTACTCCATATTTTGGCCACCACAATCATGAGTTGATGTCAAGCGATTATTACTAGAGTATAACACTTGTTTTCAAATCTATATTAACCCTAGATTGCCATAATTTTCAACCAGCCACCATGACAATAATGAAACAAATAAGCAAAGTTGACATATTGCAAAGGTGTTTCCATTATACTGTGCCAATTTTCGTATGAAGTTGGTCGTATCATGTCAAGCCTGAAATCTCTTTCCATAGCTTTTGTTTCGTATCCTATTGTCTAACTTAGGCTGTGTC